GAGAGCGCCCAGGAACCGTGACGTCACGCAGCACGTTTTATTTGTCTAAAAGCAGTTAAAACAGTTAAAACAATGCCCCACAGCTGCCTGGCTCCCCCTGCTCCAGCCCCGTCTGCAGTAAAAACCTCCGTTGCCCCCTCAGCATCCAGCCCAGCCCCTTGCCCTGGCTCCCGCAAGGTCTCCCGTGGGTGCAGAGTGCTGCACCACCAAGGAGGCAAGGACAAGAGAAGGGGGGACTGTGCCCCGCTGCCCCGAGATCCCTGCAGCTCTGCCACCCCCCAGCTTCCTGGGGGGAGCAGGGATGTGACACCTGCTGGGGGTTCAGCCGTCGACACAGGTCTGGCTCATAAATACCAGCCAGACTATTTCCTCATCCCACCCCATCCCTGCAACACCCTCCGTGCCTGGAGCCACCCCAAACCAATGCTGGGGGCAGCTAAACACAGCGAAAGCAGACTCTTCCCCCTTCCAGAAGACATTTCCTTGCCACTAACAGCGCCCAGGCCCTGCAGGGCACCCCATGGTTTAGTCAGAGTCACTGAAGTCCGTGAAGAGCATCTCATGGCCGTAACTCGAGTACCGAAAGTCTGTCTCCATCAGTGCCAGGGTGAGAGCCCATTCAAGCATGCAGAGCTCCTCGTCCTCCTCGTCAGAGCTCTCCGAAGGAGAGGGGCTGAGCTCCTGCAGCACAGGAGAGAGGATGAGCCCTGGCCTTGAGCCACACTGCACAGCCATGCAACGCCCCAGCTCTCTGGGACACACCACTCCACTTACGACAGGCATCCTCGGCCGCTGCTGTCTGCGCTGTGGCAGCCGTCCAGCGGGCAGCTCGTGCAGGTAGATGCAGTCTGACTTGAACGGGCAGCGGCCGCGGTTACGGACGAAGAACTTGCACCTGATTTTCCTGTAGGATGCAAAGCGCAGTTGTGAGCGCAGCTCCTGGAGCAGCACAGAGCTCACAGCCCTGCAAGCCCACGGCGCCACACACTCACCCTGTCCGCGCCTTGAAGGTTTCAATGAGCTTCTCCTTCTCGCCCACATCTGAGACCCAGTATTTGTGGGGGATGTAGTAACTGGAGGTGACTCGGCACTCGGGGCAGGCCCTGAGTGAAGGCAATGGTTGCAGATGGGTGTCCCGAAAAAGAAGCAGGGAGCGTGGGCTCAGCACCCATGCTGGGTAGTCCCACTGCTACAGCCTCATCCAGCATCCCCATCACAGCTCCCAAGTCCTTGTTCCCAAAGGAAAGCCACATCGCCAGACCCAAGGAAGGATTTCAGGGAGCAGAAGGGGCACCACTGACCCCCCTGCCATGTCCCCGTCCCCACTCACTTGATGACTGTGCTCTGGAAGTCCCGGCTGCGACGCCACTTGCGAATGCAGCCCACGCAATACGTGTGGCTGCAGTTCGGGAGGATCCCAAAGAGCCGCTCCTCTGGCAGCGGCTTCTCATACACCCGGTCCATGCAGATGCCGCACACCATGGCCTTGCTCCGGGCCCTCAGCGCCGTGATGGAGACCGGGACTGTTCCAGCACCCGGCTCCGTAAGGACCTGCAAACAGAGCAGCACAGCATTGCAACCCCCTGGCTCCATCACTGCCCCAGCCTAGGGGACTGACACAGGGTGATGGGGATGGCCTGGCCGCAGAAGACCCTCAAGCCCACCTCTGCAGGGTCAGTCCACGTTGCTGTCTCCACCGCCGCCTCTCTGGGGTCAGGAGAATTTGGATCCAGTCCCAGCCTTTGTGGTTGGGACCCTGCAGGCAGGAGAGCTCTTAAAGTGGAAAAAGCACATCCCACCCCATCAAAGAGGCAGGCTGGCTGCTTGGAGGGCACAGGCTTAGCAGTTAAGGTCCCTACCCTAAAAAAGCTGCTAGGAGAGCTTTCCCCAGTCCCAGCTGGTAAGGATTTGGGTCAAGGACAGACACATGCACAGCACCGTGACCACCCTGGTATTCTCACCCCCGCCGGTCCTCAGGCGCCCTAGCACCTACCTGAGGCACCTCGAGTTCCTGTGGGGACAAATTCTCCACCGATGGCCCCACGGGGGACGTTATGAGGTGCTGGGATGTTTTCCTTGTCTTTCTCTTCCTCCTCAACCTCCACGCCTGGGAACTTGAAGGCCACACGCATCACGCTGGGAACAAGGTGGGCTGAGCTGCGGTGGGCTCTCCCCCAGCCCTGGGCCACTGCTGCGGGCACACTGCTGGGCTCTGAGCCCCGGTGGCCGGAGGGGACGGGGTAGTGGTGGGTCCCCACAGGCATCGGCTCCTCTTGAATGTGCTGGTAGCTGGAGGAGCCCAGGGACAGAAAGACAGAGGGTCCCGTCAGCTCCGCATGGCACCTCCTGGCTCCCAGCACATCCTCATGGCATCAGGCCCCCTCCTTGCTGCCCCTTACCTGCACCGCTCTCCATAGCTGCAAAACCCGCTCTGGAAG